ACAAAAAAATATATATATACATAATACCTATTATATATATATATATATATCTTTATATCTATATAATCTGAGAAGAGAAGATCAGAGAGAGAGAGAGTTGTGAACCACTTGCAAAGAAAGAGAGACATCGCGAAGACCAGTTAAGAGGAGAGAGAAGTCACAATGGCCTGTGTGCGACTCGCGAAGACCAGCGAAGAGAGAAACATCACGAAGACCAGCGAAGAGGAGAGAGAACTCGCGATGGCCTGTGTGTGACTCACAAAGACCAGCAGGGAGGAAGGAAGAAGTCTGCGATGCGATGGCCTGTGAAAGTCTTGCAATGGCCCGCAATGGAGCTCCGACTGAGAAGAAGACAGATTCGTGATCAGATTCGCATTTCTCTTGCATCAAAATCGTGATTCTTCAACGAATTTAAGTCAGAAGCACAGAATCGCGCTTCTGAGGAAGAATCGCGAGCAACAGGAACAATTCCTGCTACTAAGCATCTTACTATGGTGCATCTATATACCTACATTCTTTAAGCATTTTGGAAATTGGACAAAACTAAACATAAAAGAATCCGTAGGTCAATAGATAAGCTCACAATTTTAAATCGTGGTAACAGGGCACGTAATGGTATCAGTCATATGTAACGGTATCGGTAATATCAAGTGATACGTATCAAAAATCGGGTGACACAAGCGTGGACTATATAAAATCATCAGCAACTCTCTCAAACTCAATCATATATTAATCTTACTACTACATGTATTAATTTTAATCATTGGCATCAATTGTTTGTATACTCAAGAAGCACTATTTTGCAAATTATTAATAAAAAATAAAGAAGCATCTACATACAAGTCCCATATTATGGACTTATACTCTATTAAGTCCTAACTAAGATTTTTTAAACCTTCAAGTCCTATTAAATTTTTAATAGTCAGAATTATTCTCCAAACAATGATTGCTCATCATTTATGATTGTCTATAGAAGAGCATGATGATGCAATATTTAATTTGATTTTCAAAACTTCAAAATATCACAATTTTTACAACATATATTTGTTTTTAATAAAATTTATATTTTTAGAATCAACACAACGAGATCTCTCAAACAAGACTAATATTAAATAAAAAATTATGCAAAATTAAAATATATTTTTTTATTATAAATTTACAATTTGACCATTTTTAATAGTAGGTCTTCTAAACTTATTTCTAGATTTACAATATTTACTTGGTTTAATTTTTTATTATAAAGTATATGGAGTTGGGTAAGTTAACTGAGAGAAAAATTCATACAAAGCTGAAGGGAAAAAAAATAAAAAAATAAAAAACATACTTAAAATGAGGAAGTTAAACTAAAAAATTATAGGCTGCGTTTGGTTATGTGTTCCAAATACATTTTCACCCACTCATTTGAGTGTGGTGTTTGTTTTGAACTTTCAAATTATAATTCTACACCTACTTTTGAAAACTCCTTTCCAGGCAGGAAAATTTTGCTTACACGGTTGTCCTCCCGAACATCCCCTCGGACGTCCAACCAGTTGACCGGAACGGATTTTTTTTTTTTTTTTTTTTTCTTTTTTTTTCTACACCTGTTATTTTTATATTGTAAATAAAAAATATTTTCAAAATTTTTTTAATTTTTATATGAGCTTTGAATAAAATTTTGGGTTGTGTATTTGGTTATGAGTTATAAATTTTTTAATCAAATAACTTTTCTAATTTCAAAAACTCAAAACTCCCTCCAAAACTCAATTCAAAACTCCTTTTAAAACTCATAACCAAACAAATTTTCTACACTCAAATCATAATTCTAAAGCTCACAAACTCAAAATATAACTCTATTCTCAAATCATATTTAAAAAACTCTACCAAACGCTACCATAAATTTTATTCAAAAATTGAAAAATTAGATTGCAACTATGAAATTCATCTAAAATATATGATTCCTAATACTAAGAAATTTCTCAGTTTGAATAAACTTCTCAGTTTAAAAAATTAGGAAATAAGTCAGAGCACAATTTTTTCAATTTCTAACCAGATATTTCAATTTTAAACAAATAAAGTATCTCTCTCACACACAAACATGCATAAACAATTTGAGAAATATCTCAATTACGAAACTAATAAAACTGAGAAATTTCTTAGTTAGCGAAACAACTATATGGAACATTGTTGTGCAAAACTGAAAAAATTCTTAGTTTTAAAACTGAAAAAATTGATAATGTTCTCATTTTAAAACTGGAAAAAATTAAAAAATTTCTCAGTTTGTGCTGTCTGGTTCTCTATCGCAAACTAGGATTGCTCGCCAACTAGGTCATATCAGACCAACATTTTATATTTTATTTTTATAAAGTTTTATATTCAATATTGGTCATGTTTGATAGATCTCATTGTGTAGACTCCAGAAATATAAATTTTATTAAAAATAAATGTGTATAATAAAAGTTACGAAATTTTTAAGTTTTGGAAAAAAAAAAAAAAGAAGATAAAGTAAATGTCACATCAGTATTACCCATTTGAGCTAGGAAAAGTTCTTTGGTATTCTTGGGGCATGGTCAGGCAGTGCCCAGGAGAGCTGTGATTGGTGGAGAGGGTGGGGCCTACAATTTTGCGTTGGTGTATGGGGCATAATGTTTGGTAATTGGTGGATAACATTATCATGTGGTGCACATGGAACACTAAATAATTTTTTCTTAGCGCTCAACGAATTGACGCTTTTCAATTCCTTCCGCCTTTTATAAGGGTAAAACAATCATAAATATATATATATATATATATATAAAAATCTTTTGAAAATGGGACCTTATTGGTTAAAAACAATAAAGCAGGGGACTTAATGGAATACCAACCTTACAAATAGGACTTTTGAGTAAGGCACTATTTGATATAAACTAAATAAGTACACTTATGTGGGTCACATCACCTCTCTACTTTTTTGTACATCTTTTTGTAAAAAGTCAAAAAGTATACTTATTTAAATCATCCCAAACAACCCTTAACTACCTAAAAAATAAATAGTTCTCACGTGGATCAGCAAATAGCAATCCCACATTGCTTGCATAAGATATATGAGGTTGCATCAGTGCCTCATGTAGCATTCAAACACTTTCCATTGTCCCACATGAGTTAGCCACAAGGAAGAGAGTAGGCCCAACTCTTATAAAACACATTAGTCATAGGTTATATTGCAGGCGCTTACAGCCTAGTGAACACATGGCTGAGCAAGAATGCAGTCAAAATTTTATATTTTAACCCGTGAATCAGTCCGATTTGGCATTCGTAATGGGAACCAGCCAGTTCAATTGCAATATTCAAAATGGTTTTGTGTACACAAAAAATAAATAGCTTATTGGCTTATTTGGGTCACATCACCTGTCTACTTTTCTGCACGTCTTTTGTAATAAGCAAAAAAGCTTAAAAAATAAGTCATACCCAAAGCAAACCTTAATCTCAACGGGAAACCCATGACTATTTGACTCAGAGGGACAAATACCCATTACAAACTGTCCAGTTCACTACAAACCAGCCGGTATTTTTAACCATGGTTATGCCTACCCTATCCTCTAAATTGATACAAAATCAGTCACTAGTACATACTAGAATTATAATCTTTATTATACTAGACCAATGTTACCACTATTTGGTTTGATTTTCAAAAACTGTTCTCCAAAATTTTTTTGAAAAAATACAAATTAGTTTGACAAAAATAAACAACAAAAAGATATTTTTAAAATCATTTCTACTCCCTAAAAGATAAAACTATATGAAAATTATGAGTATTTCTTTATTTTTTTCATAAAATTAATTTTTAGTATTTTAGAAAAGAATTCTAAAAACAGGTTGTGAAAACCAAACCAACTAGCGATTTACGTTTCGGAACACATGTTTCGAAACATGGTTACACTTTCATTCCAAGATGGTAAAGGAAGTTACCTTATAAGGAAAAACAAATCAAATATAATACACTAAAATCTAAGGAGAGTGGAGTTGTGGTATAACAAAACATATAAAATGGGTCATAATGATCATAGAAATATGTTGTGACATGATAAATTTGAAAAGAAAATGCAGCATTTTAATGGATATCTAATTTTTTTTTTTTAAATAAAAAAATTCTCTAAAAGTACCTTAAAATCTAACAGTTAATCTAAACAGATGTACCCCTATTGTACCACATTTTAGAGAATCCGATGTAACCACGTTCCCAATCCTCTTTCACATACTGAAAATATCCTGTTCCAAGTAACATAGTACTAGGAGTCAGGATCTCTAAAGTGATTTTTCATAGAGTGATCTTAGGATGGCTGAGAGTTAAATCTATCAAAATTGACAATACAATAATCATTTCACCTTCAACTCTCAAAGCCTAACCTTATCACTCTACCATCACACAATGAAAAATCACTCTAGCAGATACTAGACCCTCCTAATGGTAACAAACAACCTACTTAAGAAATTCCCCATTTCTACCATTTGTTCATGCATTCTTCACATCCAAAATTATGTCTCAGATCATCGCATATCCAAAATAAATAAATAAATAAACAATTATATTTGAAAACACATTTAAACAACACACACATGATTGCTCCCCAATATTATTCAGCATCAAACCAACACATCAAATTGGGTAAACGCCAACATATAAAATCCTATGTAAACAACAAACCTCATTTACATATAACTATATGGTTCACGAAAAAAGTAGTAGTTAAAGATTGTTACATAGTTATGTGAAGAGATAATTCATCAAACACCTTATAAGCATAAACCAAAACCATTTATAATTCGCATTTCCGTGTATCTACACTTAATGTTACTAATCCCATCTGTATCAATGGATTTCCAAAAATGGTGTAATCGTATATAATCAATGCAATCGAAACACGGTCATTTACCTAAGCTACATATATATATATATATATATATGTGTGTGTGTGTGTGTGCGTGTGTGTGTGTTTGTGCGTATAGAGAAAAGAGAGATTTAAAAGCTCAGAACCCTAATATACCTGTAACTGCTTATAATTTGAGAACGATTTGTCTGTGAACCTGCTGCTCTTTCTCTTCTCTGGAATCACCCCTCCCTCCCTCTCTCTCTCTCTCTCTCTCTCAAGCACAGAGCTATTTATTTATGGGTCATTTACAAAAATATTAATTTATGAATTTAATAGTTAAAACTACTTTTCAAATAATAATTGTTTATTATTTATAATTATATATAAAAAAAATATGATAATTTAATATTTATTTTAATTTTTAAAATATCAACTTTTAAATTAAAAAAATTAAAAATTATGTATGAAAATTTGAAAAAATTGATTTTTTTTTTTTGTACAAAACTAAAAATTTTGTGTTTATTAAGAAGAATGATGATGGAACATTAATATGCAAAACTGAAAATAAATCAAAATAAAAATAAAATTTTAAAAATTAAAAAAAAAACCTGATAATGTTGTCAATTGTAAAATTGAAAAAAATAAATAAATAACATGATAATATTCTCAATTTTATTGAATAATTGAACCAAATCAATAAGTAGAATGGCAAACAACGTTTAATCTCATGCTTTTTTTTTATCAGTTAGTAAAATAATTATCTGGAACATTACTATGTAAAATTAATAATATTCTTAGTTTTAAAAATTTTAAAAAAAAATTGATAATATTCTCAATGAATAAAGCTTGAGACCCCCACTCCCAGTGACCCCCAATGACCCCCCAGTGCCACGTGGCACCACGTGATTGGAAAGAAAGGAAAAAAAAAATTGTTTTTGGCTACTGGGGGTGCTGGGGGTCCCTAGCACCACTGTATTTTCAATTTTATAAAATACGACTTATTAATTTAAAAAAAATTAGATAGAAACTAAACTATCATAATATTTATAAATAGAACTTTTAAATAGTTAACTCTTTATTTATTTTTTACTTTCATAAAATAACACTGGCGGAAATGAAAGTTCTAAGGCCTCGTTTGTTTTGGGTGAAAGAGAGGGTATTGAGATTGCTAATACCAAGGTATTAGTAATAGCCTTGTTTGTTTTGGGAGAAGGCCTTGGGACTATTAGTCCCTTGGTATTACTACCCTTGGAGAGGGGATTGGTAAGGAGGAGGTAGAGATGGTATTAGAAAAATAGTGAGGGGATTAGAAATTTTTTATTTTTTTTATTTTTTATATATGGGAAAATTTTTTTAAAATATAATTTTTAATTTTTTATATTTTTTTATTTGTTTTATTATTTTATATAAAAATAATTTAACAATTCCTCACTACTAATCCCCTCACTATCAATCCCCTCACTACTAATCCACTCACTAATAATCCCTTCACTATTAATCCGCTCACTATCAATCCCCTCTATTCCATCTCCCAAAACAAACGAGGCCTAGAGTGTGCAATATAACCCAACCCATAAATCCGAGTTCATAGGCGCTAGATGGATGGCCTAATTATTTTTTAGTTTTCAATATGGGTCAGTATGATCCAATTTGGATTCGATTTAGATGAATTAAGGATTAATTAATTATCTACGGTTTCATAAAAATTATAATCAAATCAAATTATTAAAATCATGGAATTAATCCAAATCAAACTATTTAAGCACAGTTCGGTTCTATTTAAAACTACAATTTCATATAATTTGTTCACAAAAAAAAATTATATAACATGCTCATCAAACAAATACTTATTAGTTACGCAAAAACATAATATTAAACAAATATTGTTCAACATTAATGTGACGACCCTCGCTTCCGAACTATTATATTATATTGTTCAATAAGCTTAATTACATGATTGTGTGTTTAATTGTGCGATTACATGCTTAATTTTGTAGTTATATGTTATTACATGGAATATCTGTTCAAATTGGTAACTTAGAAACAGAAATTGAAAGCCTAGATAGCTTCAGAAACTGAAATTGATTAACTTAATAGATTAATTAGAATATTTAGAATTTTATGGCAACTTTAATTAAAAATTGATTTGGATTAAAATATTTAGAATAAACTGATTGAATTAATTAGAATTGAGCCCAATTAGTTGGTATTAATCAACCTTGATTGTTCTAAACTAATCTATACCTATATATAGTCTAATTAAGTCTTGAGCTCATATGATATACAACTCTTAGCTGAGAATTGAGAGAGAAAGAAGGAGAGCTCAACACTTTAGAGAGAAAAAGAAGAGATGTGAAGAAAATTGCCAGAGATTTGATGAATTAGGCTAGGCCAACACTTGTATTCAACACTAGGTATGAAATCTATCTTTAATTCTTGGAAATATTGCATGGAGAAGTTTAATTCAACTAGTTCTAGCACTCTTTTGCATGTAATTAAGAGATATGTATTAGATTTCCATGAATTGGGTGGAAAATAGTTTAATTGTATACATGCATGTGCATTCTGAGCTAGAATCCATGAAATTCTTACATGCATGGCAATTTTGCAACTTAACTTGAGGGTTTTCCCATGTTTTCATACTTATCATGTGGGTTGATCAAGTTTTGGAAAGATATAAGAAGATACAAATTCAATGTGATACATGCATGGTTCATAATAGAGAGTTTCAAGCTTTGGGTTGTCAAATGAATCATGATTTTGAGTAAATGATTTCAAATTAAGAGTGTTTTCAAGTTATATAATGATTTTCCATGTTTATGTACCAGAAATACAAGTTTTGGAGCTTTGAATATCATTTTTGAACTTCAAACATCAAACTGGAAAACCCAGATTATGACCAGCTCGCTCGAGCAAAGAAATGCTTGTTTGAGTGGAAAATTCACGCTCCCAGTGCTTTTACAAAGACTTGTATCACACTTGAGCGAGGAAACCTGCACTCAAACATAAAAAGCACGCAACCAGTACTTTTGCAGAGCTTACAGACCGCTCGAACGACAGAAGTTGCGCTCAAGCGACCACCCTTATTTTTGAACCCCAGCTCGAGCGAAGGAAGTTGCGCTCAAGCGAGGACCCTACTTTCAGCAAATTTTGACTAACTCTTCTAAGTGCATAATTGCATTCTTATGTCATTTCTATCATCCTTAAGCACCTAATGGACTCATAGAATCATAGAATGAGTTGGAGACACATGTGAAGAATTGAATTGAAATGAAATGGTGCTTCAATTGTGCTTTCGTTATGTGTTTTGTTTTGGTGGACGTCCGAGGCTTAGTGGCAACACAAACCACAGTGAGTAGTAACTTTATAAAGATATGTTCAAGTAATATTTATCTTTGAAATTGTTATTGTTCTTGAAATCAATATGCGATTGATTGAATGATTTATTAAAATGATACTTTCTATCGATGAATGAAGTTCACTTTTGAATTTATATTGTGGCATCCATTGATTATGGGCCCTTGTCTGGAGATAACAATACCATGGCTATTGGAATAATTGAAACACAGAGATCTTTTGTTTAACCCTTTGTAGTCCATTGGATTGACCATTCATGGTCCATTGGTTTGACCCTTTATGGTCTATTAGCTTGACCTTTATGGTCCATTGTTATTGGAAAATTATTGCCTCATGGATGTGCCACTTAATTTAATATTGAAAGATATCGATAATGAAATTTATTGGTTAATGAGAATTGATTATTGGGTTCTGGTTTGGCAATGTTATCGAACTTCATTCATATAACCTCTTTATTTGTTATTGCTCACTGGGCCCTGGCTCACTAATTATTTATATGTACGTAGGTAGGCAAGCTGAACATCAGAGTTAAGAAAGTCTCGAGTCTACCCAAGTCAACCTTTTGAGGAGCTTCCAAGCGAAGTGAACCACGCTCTGTTGGAGCCATGCTAGTTAAACCCCTTTTTGTTTGTTCAATGATTTTGTTTTTGTGTATAATTGGGGTTTGTATAACTATAAGACATGAAAGCTTATACAAATGTAATGAATGTACTTTTGGAGCAAATCTTTGCTTATTATACGAAGCTCTTTTCATATACGCACGGCTTATGTTATATTATACTTTCGCTAAGCCCTATACTTTATATTAAATGGATTATTTGTATGGAGGCTGTAGGTAATCTATGATTACTGGCCGGTTATGACGCTAAACCTATAGGGGCTAGTTTAGGTCATGACAATTAGTATATCATGACTTTTTGAAACATAAATTTTCAAAACATAAACATCCGTATTGTTGCACCATTAACTTAAACAAACAAAATATCTAGTAAATAAACATATATAGTTTAAGTTATACAATCTGATTCGGTTCAAATTCGAAACTATGGACCTAAATTCAAAACCAATCCGCAGAGATCGGTTTCCCAATTTGCCAAACCAAGACCAAACCACGAATTAAAAAAAACCAAACCAAACTTATCGGATTGATCTAGACCAGTTTGGTTTGCAAATTTTTTGATTTCCTTGCTCAGCCCTAATTTTCAAGCTAAAGGTTCATTTTTTAAATTTTTGATAGAGTTTAAATCTTTGGGAACTAACCCCAAATGTCCAAATCAAAGATATCACAGCCCATTTTGTCTCAAAATAAATTACTTGCATAAATTTGTCCTAAAAAAAAATCAGAGGACCAAAATAAAACCACACTCAAAACCTCAAGCCTCACTCCTAATAAGACCTGCGCTTAAACCTCACTCTTACTACCCATGGTCATGCACAGTGTAGACACCTTATTTTTTACTAACCTTAAGATTTCAGGCGCTTGTAAGCCTCTCAATGATGAAATAGCAATTACTTTATCTTTAGAATGTTTGAAATCATTTGGAATTGTTGTACAAACCTATTTTAGCCTAAAATTGACTTTTTGCAAAAATGACGACCATTTTATCCTTAAACTTGTTTTTAGCCAAAAACCAACCTTCTAATCCCAAGAGATAGAGGGAAGCTTGGTTGTGTCTGGATCAATGACATTTTCCCAAATTAGTGAACAATTTTACCAAAAACATTGGCTGAGAGGCAATTTGGGGCTTACGTGGGCCACAAGCAAGCCAAGGGCATGGGACCCCACACTTGTACATGCATAGATGGCGCACGTACCAAGATAGGCAGTGCACATGCACGCGCATTGTGCACACGCACATCCAATCATGGCAAAGTTAGTTTTGGAAACTCAATCTTGGTGCAATTGAGGAGGGAGGTGGCAAGGGAATGAAATGGAA